AAGTAAATGTGATCTCCAGGAGGGGGAAAAACAGCTGTATTCCAAAACGCCCATAAGAAGGCATGGAAGAGGGAAGTGGGTGAAGAGAGAGAAAAGGGTACTGAAAGGGCTTTGCTTTTAAAATGCAGGCTTTTAACTAAGATGATGGGATACTACCTGTCCTGAATTGACTGCTTTGTTTTCGCTGCAGTTAGGATTGTTCTGTGTTTAATTGTCTGTGTTTTCAAACTACGGAGGAAGGAGCCCTCGGAGGAGGAGGAGGGGAGCTTGGGGGACGATCCCCGGAGAGGGTTCGCCTCCCCTGGCCTTGGAGGGAGGAAGAGAGAGAGAAGGAAGGAACGAAGGGTCTTCCATGGACTCCCCACCAGCTCGGGCTCCCCTTCTCTCCGCCTCTCCTTCTCCCAACGCTCTCACCTCTCTTCCCCCCTCACGCCAAGCCCCACAACCAGCTTCTCCAAGCGCTGCCCCACCTCCCCTTCCTTCTCCCCTTCCCGGGGGCTTCCCGGCTTCCCTAAGAGGCGCCTTCACTTCCGCCTGGAACTCTGAAGAGGGGAGGGGTCTCTTCCGGGAAGGAAAAGACGGACGCACTTCCGGGCGGAAACAGGAAGTGACTTCTTGTCTTCCTGTCGGCTCCTCTAGGAACTAGGATTCCATGGCTCTACCTCCTTTGGAGGACCATCACTCTGGCTCATCGGGTCCATCTGCTTGTCAAGGAAGAACCTGAACCCTGAACCCCGCAGTCAGATGCCTAAAATCCCTGCAATGTCTCTCCAGCAGCACATAGGAAATATGCTTTTAATGGACAGATGTTGGATTTTTTAAAATCGGTGGGCTTTTTTATTCTTGTCTCTGTCCGTATTTGTGCCCCTTTTAAATCTGCTCTGAGCCGCCTTGAGTCCCAGATTGCAGAGAAAGGTGGGATACAATGAAAGGGAAAGATAGAAAGACTGCGCAAAATATTTGTTTTAATTAATAACATTATGTGGGCAGAGCAGCTGTTAGGTTTTAAGAAATGAATGTGGATGTTATTTTTATTTATTAATCACATTTACAAACCACATTTCGCCGAAAAGAATAGCACTCACGGCAATTTATAGTATTTTTTTATTTATTTAAATAATTTATATGCCACCTTGTCCCCCCATTGGGGACCTAAGGCAGCTCAGAACAGATAAAACAACAAATGTAAAAACATTACATAAATAAAACATCTAAGGAACCATTAAACATAGATAATGATTAAACAATGAAGTATTTAAAAAATCAAAAGCATTTATAAATCTGTAAGCCAGAAGCCAGCATTTCTCCACACTTCAGCAACATTTCTCCCTTTGGGTGGATTCTGTGATGAGTTCTCAGACTTGCACTGTGACGGAAGCTGTTTCCACATTGCAAGCATTTATAGGGTTTCTCTCCTATGTGGATTCTCACATTGGGAAACCAAGTACCTGCTGCGATGAAAGCTCTTTCCACATTCTAGACGCTTAAAGGGTTTCTCCTCTGTGTGGACTGTCTGGTGTGAACAGAGGTTGCTTGTATTATGGAAGCTCTTTCTGCATTCCAGGCATTTAAAGGGCTTCTCTCCTGGGTGAGGTCTCATGTGGTAAGTGATATGTTCTTTCTGATAAAAGCTCTTTTCACATTCACAGCATTTATAGGGTTTCTGTCTTCTGTGGAGTCTCAGATGACGAGCAAGACCTGTGCTCCGACTGAAAGTCTTTCTGCATTCCAAGCACTGATAAGGTTTCTTCTCTCTGTGGATACTTTGATGAGAACTAAGATTGCTTCTATCACTGAAGCTCTTCCCACATTCCAG